GTGCAAAATGTTAAGAAATTCATACTAAGTGTATGAATTTTCGTATTGGGCACTTTGTGTGCTAAAATATTAAGAAATTCATACTAAGTGTATGAATTTCCGTATGGGCACTATGTATGCGAAATTAAAAATTAATATCAATTGTACGATTTCCATATGGGAAATATATGGGAAATTGTCAGAAGTTAAGAATAAGAAAGTGAATTGTCGTAATTGTAGTGGATGAGTAATCCATGTAAATGATAGTAAAATTGTGGTATTAATGCACTGGACTTATGGGTATGAATCATAGAATGTATAATCATTGAAGAGGTTAATTGATATTGAATGATTATTATACTAGACACAACTCTAAAACAAAAGATTAATAGGCCTAACTGTGCAATTGACATAAATATGTCATTTATGTCAGTTAGATGAAAGGCTAAGTGCCTTTGAGGCCTAACTGTGCATTTGAAAGAAATGTGTCATTAATGCCAGTTAGATGAAAGGCTAAGTGTCTTTGAGGCCTAACTATGCAATTGGTAGAAAGGTACCAATTATGCCAGTTAGATGAACGGTTAAATATCGTTGAGTAAAAGAATAATGACCTAACTGTGTAATTGGTATAAATGTATCAATTATGCTAGTTAGATGAACGATTAAATACCGTTGAGTAAAAAAATAATGGCCTAACTGTGCAATTGGTAGAAAGGTACCAATTATGCCAGTTAGATGAACGGTTAAATACCGTTGAGTAAAAGACGAAAGGTTAAGCACTGTTGAATAAAAGAATGATGGATTTGCTATGCATTTGACAAAAGAGTGTCAAATATGCAAGTTAAATGAAAAGCTAAATACTTTGGGGTAGAATAATAAAGAAATTGAAATGTGATATGAATGGTATATAAGTGATAGGAAGGGATGATATATATATATATAAGGTACAACAATGCATAACTAGTATGAAGGGATGTTATAAAGGAAAACATAAACATAACATAATGGGCATGAAAGGATACCAAATGAAAATATAAAACAATGTATTAATAGTATTTAAGGTGTCGCCTTAATGATTATAAAATATACATGATCAATTAGCACATTGGGGCAATCCATGTATAGTACTTCCACATTTAATGTATGCAGGGCAAATAAAGAATAAAGGGGGGAAATATACCAAAAGGATAAGTATGACGAACATATTAAGAATAATTTCCATGATGGTATGCAAGAATTATGGTTTAACTGAGGAGGGCTTAACTGGTCCTTATGAATAATGAAGTTAAATTATTATTCAGTATTTATAAGATATGGCCGTATAATTGTAATGTTCTTGCAGTTTTATGTCTCACTAAGTAAATACTTAACGTGTGTTTATTCCACGCATAGGTAAAAGGCAAAGATTAGTGCGTAAGGAGTGTAGCAGTAACAGTAGCTTTCATCAATTAAAAGTTGACTCATCAGTAATATTATGACAATCTTATTCAATTTAAGAACTTAGTTGACATGTAATTAAACTATGGCAAATATTTTGGAATATAATTAAGTAATAGTTTTAGTATGTTGCTTTCAGAAATATCATATTTTGTAGTTGATTAAATTGAAACAAATTTAACGGGTTTGAAAATGACAAACATTTTTATAAAGTAATGTGACCTTTGTATCTTGTACACGGAAAGGTATATGGGATATGGGTGTTACAGATTGATTGATTGCAAAAGTTTTTTTAAACCTAAGGCAATGTTCACTTATTAGGGAGTCAATAGTATATCTCCCGCAAGTATGCTCAGGGGGTGACTACTGGTGATTCCCGAAGTAGGTCGATATCCTTTTCGAAAACCCTATCATGTTTCCAAAATTCCAAGGCAATGTTCAATTATTGGGCATAATAATTGATCTCCCACATTTATGCTAGGGGCAAATATTATTGGCTTAAATAATCAAACATCATTTTCAACTTTGCATCCATAGTAAATTTTTTATTAAATAAAGTTTAAACTCAAAATTTCCAAATTTCAAAATAGGGTAATCAATTAGGTACCAATTTCTGGGCGCTGTGGGGTGCTAACAATTCCCCACGCGTAATTGACTCTCGAGCCTGATTTTTGGATTTTTCACAAACCCCAAACTCGATATTTTGGTAAAATAAAATATTTTATTAAAATCACCCGATTTTTATGGTGTTCCAATCATACCTTAAATGGTTGATGACGACTCCTCACATTTCAAAATCTTTACAAAGAAAAACCTCTAAGTCATACTAGTTTTTTTCCCACCTGGACGAAAAAACGATGACGACAACGATTAACCATTAATAAATTAAATTTATAATTATATTTTTTACGGGAAAACACTAATAGAATTAGATGTAAATTTTAGTTATATTCTTAAAATGTATATATTTAAATAATAAAAGTTGTACACAAATAATTTAATATATATTTTTAAATTTTAAATATTTTATTTCTTTGAAAATATAGAAACATACTTACGATAATATAATTATGTGTGTATTGTTACGTTCAAATATATTAGGAGATGTAAATACTTACACTGTTGTAATTATGTGTTAAGTGCTACACTTTTTTTATTCACTTATACTGGTGTAAATATGTGTTAATTGCTACACTTTTTGTAGTATGGATTATGAAACTTTAATGTGTTATTTTTGAAAAATAATTGTAATAGGTTAATCGTAGGTTAACATGTAACCGAGCCGTTAATAACAGTTGACCGTTAGCGGTTAACCGTTTCTTAACGGTTAGATTACGATTGAAAAAAATTGTAACCGTTATAATAATTAACTGACCATTTAGGATAAACGATACATGTAACCTTCAATGAAGATGCAAATATTAAACCTATCATTGCATATTTGTTTTATATTATGAATTATTATTTATACAAGTTTTTAACTTTATAAATAGAATTGAAAAAAAGTTAGTGTTTTATTATAAAATAGTCCATACCTCCGACAGGTTCATTCAGAATTTATTTGAACCTTTCAATCTATCATCATCTCTTGATAAGATAATTAATAAATCTAAGAAATTTAATTAGACTCAAATTTATTGATTAGTGGCTGCATTTATCCATCTTGCTGGCTTACGGACGACAATTATAATTCTGGGCCTAACACCCTCACACATAAGGGGTCAATATATAAACCCCCAGAGACCCGAAGGAAGGCTGCTAATGAGGAAAGTTGATATTAGCCAAATTTTTTTGTTGTCCTCCTGGTTCTAAGGCTTTATATTAATTAATCCCGATCGACTCCGGTTTCACACCAGATTTTGGCGGATGAATCTCCTAGAGCAGGGATTTTCTGCATACATAAAGATTCGAACTCAATATTTTGCTTAAGCGATATCAAGCTACTTACCGCTTGAACCAATCCCTATTGATTGATATTAGCCGCTTTTAGTTTAATAGTAAAGTTCCCCACTTCCACCGATGAGGGATACATGAAGACGGATCAACGAATTGTAAGAGAATGTCACATGCGATCCATGCAAATCTCTCAAACACACTCCCGTCAAGCCTCAAAATCAAGATTCCAAACCCATGCAGGTAGACAAAAGAATCAATATCTTGAACCACTTACGAGAAAACTCCTATCAGAAAATTTTATCGGAGAGGTGATGTATTCTGAGTGTATCTCCAATGTTGTTATGGTGAAGAACGCAAACAACAATTAAAGACTGCATTGACATTACATCTTTGGGGGAAGTGGGTATTTTTTAGGTTAATACAAAATAAGTGTCTAAATTGTACCTTTTTTTCCATTTAGGTATCTAAACTTTTTTCGGTCAATCTAGGTGCTTAGCGTACACTTTTATGTGTCTCGGTCGTAGTAGATGTTAAATTTCGTCGTTAAATGACACGTTTCACTCTTAGGTAATTTTAAAATTTTTATTTTTTAAAAATATAAATTTTTAAAATTTTATAAAGGCGACACTGTCATTTAACGGCAAAATTTAACAATGATAACGGTTCAGACACCAAAAAATATAACGTTGGAAAAGTTAAACACTTAGATTGAACGAAAAATAGTTTAGACACCTAAATGAGAAAAAAATGTATAATTCAGGCTCTTATTTTTATATCAAGTATATTTTTTAAAATTATAACCAGTTAAGTGGAATTTTCACCAAACTTCAAACTTAGGAAATTAGTTTATGTTAACATATAATTTCAAATTTTTATGAAAATTGAAAAGTTAAAATATGAATATTTTTCAATCGATTACATGAGTGTGTCTAAACCCACGCATATATATATATATATATATATATGAAATTTACGGGTGTATTTAATTCGATTTAGTTTTTTTTATAAAAAAATTGAATTGTATTGTGTGATTTTCTAAAAATGAAATTAAAAATTAAATAATGTACAAAATTAAAATCAAATACAAACATACAAATTTGAATTGGCAAAATTATATATTAATTTAAATTTTTTTATTTAAATTTATCTTATAACAAAATTAAATCAAATGAATAAATTTTAAAGTGAGTTTGATTAAACAGTGTCGTTGAGGCTTTGATTCACTTAAAACAAAATAAAAAGATAAAATTTTCGGTGATGATGCATCCAGCCGACGACATACGAAGCTTCCTCACCCTGGACATGGCAGGCTCAGAAGCTGTTTACCACACTGCTTTTGCATTGTTTTCATTTGTTAAAAAAAGTGAGTTTAATTTGAATCATTATTTTTATTTTAGTTGATTTGATTTTAAAAAAAATCAATTTCGTGTTAGAAAACCAAATTTGAATCGGGTTATGAAAATTATCTAAACTGACTCAAAATCAGACTATAAAATAAAAAAAAATTAAATCATATAATTCGATTTGAATCGATTTTTTAATTTTTTCGTAAAAGAGTTGTATTTTGGGGTTTAAAGATAGCTAACGGGTAGCCCAAATAACAAGCAGAATATTAGGCCCTAGTGAGCCTCAATTCGAATAACCTTCTCAACTTTGTGTTATTTACGGATTTTGCCATCTCCCACCTTCCCCTTCAAAATCGCCCATCTCAGTCTTCCTGCTGGTTGGTTTCATCCTCCAACAACCTAGAAAAGAAGAAGAAAATGCCCCAAAATTTTCATGTTTCTCTTTAATTCTCAAAAGTTTAAGTCGAAAACCCTAAATTTCATCAAATCCGATCTCAATATCCTCCATTTTGATTTCCTTCACTCTAAATCAAATCTGTCATGGCCCTTGTCCGATCATAATCGCCAAAATTCTTCACTCCACTGCACCTAGGTTTCTCGATTTTTCTGTTCTTTATTTGATCGATGAATTTTGAAGATAATAATGATTGTTGTTACTCTTTTTGTTATGCAGAATTTTAGTGGATTTTGAGAGTTTAAGTGAGTCATGAAGCGGGAGTTGGATTTTGGATTGGATGGTTCAGTCAGTCCAACTCGGGAGTCAGTAGCTCAGCCTCAAACTCAGGCGAGTTCTAGTACTAATTGTAAAAGAGTTAAAGGTACTCAAGTGAATGGTTACATTGTTTACACCCGAGTTAAGAAGTCAAGAACTAATTATGGTGTTGAATTTTCGGAGAATATAAGGAACAAAAGTATGCCCGTAAATGGTGTTAAAGAGACCTTACTTGATGAGGATCAAGAGAATAAAAATTTGATTGAAGCTAATAATGTGAACCGTAATGAAATTGAAGGTCGACCGCAAAATGAAAACACAGCAAGGGATAATGTGGTAGTAGAAAATGTAGTTGGTGAGAGCTTAGTTGTGCGAGATTTTGTTGAAGGTGGTCCACTTGTGGAGGCTATCATTGAAGAGAGCCATATTATCGGGGAAAATGCCATTGTAGGGAAGTTGGTAGTTGAGGAAATTGGAAGAGATGGTAGGCCTGTTGTTCAATCAAGGCTTAATGAAGTGTCTAATTATAATTTGGCAATCTCTATGTCTAAAGAGGAGTCAGTGAATGAGCGGGAGACTTGTCTTGTTGATAAAGGTTGTTTTGAAGGATCATCAATGCAGATTTCTTATAGTAGTGATGGAAGTAATGATGATGTATTTTTGAAGGCCCTGAGGCTGTCTAAACAATCCTTAACGAGACCAAAGGTTGAAGCAGTAGACAATTTGGAATGTGAACAGCAGGCTGTTGAAAATGTTCTAGTTTCAAATTTTGGTGGAGAGGAATCAACTGAAGAAAGCGAATTGACGACTTCCAGGAAGAACTTGGAGTTGAAAATGTCAAAAAAGGTTGCCCTGACTAAGTGTCCAATGACAGTTAAAGAGCTATTTGACACTGGTTTACTTGATGGGGTTCCTGTGGTTTACATGGGCACAATAAGTAGTAAGGTGGTTCCTTGCTGCTTCGGTTATAAGTTTATCCTTTTTTTTTCCAATATATGGTCAATTTTTTCTTTAAAATTTAAATGTAGTGGGTAGTTTAAGCCTTAATATTAGTTGAATATGTATTTCAGACAGCTGGCCTTCGAGGAATCATTGCAGACGGTGGAATTTTGTGTTCATGCTCCTTGTGCAAGGGACGTAGAGTAAGGAATCTCTTCTCTAAATTGCAATTTTGGATTCTCTGGAACTCCATAAACTAATAATTGCTATCATTGAACTTCTTTCTGCCTTTGTTTTCTGTTGTAGGTTGTTCCTCCATCCCAATTTGAGATTCATGCTTGTAAACAATACAAACGTGCAGCACAATATATCTGCTTTGAAAATGGGAAAAGCCTACTTGATGTGTTGAGGGCATGCAGGAGAAGACCTTTGCATACTTTAGAAGCAACAATTCAAAACATCCTCAGTGCTTTACCTGAGCAAAAAAGTTTTACTTGTAGAAAATGCAAAGGTGACATTTTCTGTTGTTAAATTCATATATTACTGACCGAGCCAATTAGCAAGAATGGTTTTGATTAGAAGAGATCTTATTCCTTTTTTTTTTATTCGCTTGTTTCTAGGTTGTTTTCTGTACTACATGCCGGGCAAACAGGGCTGCTTTGCAATTCATGTGTAGAGTCAAAAAAATCTCAGTGTAGCACAATAAGTGCACCCAGTGCCGGAGCTAGGTGTGCATTCTAAAACTTTATTCTGTAAAAAGTTTAGGAATTGATGTCTCTTTTGCTATGGAGTTTGGTTGATTAGAGATTTGATGTTCTTCATCAGTTAAATTTTCTACTTGTTTGACGATTGCACTGTTATTTATGAGAATTTTGTTAACTAGTTATTATTCATGATCAGTAAATCTTCTTGATAACCAAGCATGTATAGATTAATGTCTTTGTATGATATTGACGAGGTTTTCATTGTACATTCAACAATAATTTATTGATACATGGTAGAAAAGTTACATTATTCTAAGTTTATTTGGCTGATTATCATTCTATCTGCATGCTCCATAGGAATGCAATTTTTTCATCCTTTCCTTCGTTGGATATGAAAATGAGTTACAGCATTAAGTTGCTCGTAAGTGATAAGTAAATACAAGAGTGATGCTTCTTTTTTTTTTATAGGAATAGTAGGTCTCATTAAAAACCTCCTTCTTAGTAGTCCTTTACCATGAGGTTAGAACCGACTAGCGGAAGGAGGAAAAGAGTACCTCAATATATTGATTTCAAAAAAAAGATTACATAAGACGTAAACCACTCGTTGAAGATACATAAGACTTAAACACACTCATATAACACCCTCGGAATAAAACCTCCGAACCTAGTACAACAAAGTGAACCACTACCCAATCCCCTCCTTAGCTAGCAAATCTGCCTCGCTATTACAACTTCTCGGAATCCACCTCACAATGCCTTCATTCTTAGAAACCGCATCCGCAATATCCTTAACAAACTTAAAAAGATAAGGTGGAACTGACTCCTGAAATTTCAACCAATCGACGGCTAACTTGCAATCACTTTCAATAATAAGCCTACCCTTCAATAGCCATTCTGATGCCACAAAGATGTCTAAACCTCTTTTGATAGCTTTTAACTCTGCCAAAATGATAGGACTAGAACCTAATTTTTCTGAGAACGACATAAGCTTGACCCGATTCCAATCTCTTAGAATCCCCCAATTCCAGCTAACATCCCAACAGAACTCACAGCTCCATCCACGTTAAACTTAAAAAAATCGACTGGAGGACTCAAGGAAAGCACAGGCCTGTTAAAATCCATAGTGGCTGAAATTTTATCAGCCAATGAAGGATTCCCAATTAAAGAATCCACTTGGATAGAGAGTAAAGGATACTTAGCGAGGAACCATTTCGCTAACCTTAACCTAATTGTGAAAAACAGTGAGGATGTATCCAGCTTACCTCTTTCAAAAATAATTTCATTTCGCATCTTCCAAATTGACCATAAAACAGCCCCCGGGATAAACTTCCACATATTAGAATAAGGCCTCAGAACAGACCATGAATTTAGAACTGAAGACGGATCAGCAGGTAAGGCTAACTTGATACCCCAATAGCCTATGATTCTGTTCCATAATACCCACGAAAACTGGTAGGAAATAAACAGGTGCTGAACTGATTCTTCAACTTGATTGCAAAAGGGGCATTGAATGTCCTCCCCTAAAGGAACCCATCTTTTTTCCAATTCCACTCTAACCGCTAATTTATTAAGTGATACTTGCCAAAGGAAAACCTCTACTCGAGGAGGAACCAGACCCTGTCAAACACATTTAGTCCACCTAAAGGGATCCTCATCAGCTGAGTAGAATGATTTCGTGCAAGCTTTGACAGAATATAACCCCTCACCCACATCGTCCCAAAGCATACAATCCTCCAAAGAATCATTTAATTTGATATCCTTGAGCCTATCCAATAATTCAACCAGTTGAACCACTTCCTAGTCACATAAATTCCTCCTAGTCTTAATATTCCACTCCCATCCATTCGAATCAAAGCTACCAAAATCAGCAACCTTACCCCCTTGATTAAATGAAAGGGCAAAAATCCTAGGAAAAAGAACTTCCAAAGGAAAATCCCCCAACCATGTATCATTCCAAAAGGAAATCGAATTTCCATTCCCAACTTGTAGCTCTGCAGGCCGTTCAGTGGCGGAGGAATGGGTGTTGCTGATTTGAATCTTACAAACCGAGCTCTGCTGAGTAAGTGGGTATGGAAATTTGCTAATGATAAAAATTCGATGTGGAAGAAGTTCTTATGTAGCAAACACAATGTGAGCTGCCATTCCATGGATATCAAAAAGGTTCTATCTCAAAAAGACTCCTGGTTATGGAGGGGAATTGTGAACAATTATATTAAGGATGATGCTATTGGTGGATGTCTTAGATCTCATGCTAAGCTTCAAATTGGTAATGGTAAATCTATTTCCTTTTCGAGCGATTCATGGATTGGGGAGTTGCCTTTGAAACTGCTGTTCCCTAGGATTTTTGCCCTTTCTTCAAATAAATTGGGTAGTGTTGTAGAATTTGGGAGTTTTGATTCGACTGGATGGGAATGGATTATTGAGACTAGGAGGAATCTTTGTGATTGGGAGGTTGAACAGTTGGTAGAGTTACTAGATAGGCTGAAAAATATTAAACTTTTGGAGCACTTGGAGGATTGTTTGTTGTGGGATGGTTCGGGTGAGGGGTTGTTTTCTGTCAAAGCATGTAGGAGAGTTCTTTCTTCTTCTATTGATGATTCTTTTCAATGGAATAATTGTGTATGGTTGGGTTTAGTTCCTCTTAGAGTGGAGACTTTCCTTTGGCAATTATCCCATCAAAAATTAGCAGTGAGAGTGGAATTGTTGAGAAGAGGGGTCAATATAGGAGAAAACATTCTCTGTCCTTTATGTAATCAATGGGATGAATCGGTTCATCACTTATTTATTTTTTGCCATGTTTCTTGGGAACTGTGGACTAAGCTTATAGGGTACTGGGGTATTCGGTTAGCTCTACCACAAGACCCTCCCAACCTGCTCAGTTCGTGGGTTGATTTGAGGCCTAATTCTGCTATATGGAAGTTTATTCCAGGGGCTGTTTTTTGGTCAATTTGGAAGCTAAGAAATGAGATTATCTTTGAGAAAGGAAAATTGGACAAATTTTATTGTTTTTCACTGTTCGTTTAAGATTAGCCAAATGGTTTATAGCAAAGTATCCCCTATGCTCCATTCAGGTAGACTCATTAATGGTGATCCTTCTTTGGCTGACAAATTTTCTGCTTCTAAGGTTCCGAACAGCATGGTGTACTGCTGGAATCCTCCTCCGGTGGACTTTTTTAAGATGAATGTGGATGGGCTGTTTGTTGTGTTGGGATGATGGCTGGAATAGGAGGAATTCTCAGGGATTGGAATCGGGTTATTCTTCTTTCATTTTCAGAAAATGTCGGTCCTACCACCCCCATTCTAGCAGAATTGAAAGCTATCAAAAAAGGCATTGACATTTTTGTTTCTTCAGAATGGGTTTCGAAGGGTAGGCTAATTATCGAAAGCGACTCAAAGCTAGCAGTGGATTGGATCAATAGCCAAGTTTTTGTCCCTGTGTTTCTGTCTAATTTAGTTAAGGAAATTGTGACTTCTGTTTCTCTAAAGCAGGCTATTGTCAGGTGGATTCCTAGGAGTTGTAATTGTGAGGCTGACAAGCTAGTGAAAGAGGGAATTGGGTGATTGTTGACGTGGCTTTAGTTGGTTTGTATGCTTTAGAGAAAAGGTGTTTCAGGAGTGTTTTATGTCTTTTGTATCTTGGTGGAGTGTTCTTAAGTTTTATGTAACAGCTTAAACTTTAATAAATTGATGTATTCTTTTCCTCCTTCCGCTTGATGGTTCCTGCCTTAGGGAAAATGACTACTAAGAGGGAGGTTTTTAAAGAGGCATTCTATTCCTATAAAAAAAAATAGAGTTACAACTAACACTATGTTTAGAACATATGAAATTCTTCCACAAGGAATCTTTATCATTTGCAAATTTCCAAACCCACTTTCCCAACAAAACTCTATTAGTAAGTTTCAAATCAACGACTCCTAGACCACCTCCACTCTTTGGTTTACAAATCTTATTCCAACTCACCCAATGCATTTTCTTCTTCTCCTCCCCTCCACCCCATAAAAAATTCGCCATCAAAGAGTTTAATTTTTGACAAATCTTAGATGGAATCTTGAAAATAGAAAGATAAAAGATAGGTAAGGAGGATAATACCGACTTAATAAGCACCAATCTACCGGCCATAGACAAAGAGGAAGCTTTCCATCCCGCTAATTTCTTATCAAAGTTGGCAATTACCGGCTCCCACAGTTTTTCACAATTCCTTTTAGCTCCTAACGGGAGGCCTAAATATACCGTCGGAAAGGTACCAATAGAGCAGCCAATGTCCTTAGCCCAAATTCCAAGGATGTCCTCCTCCACATTAATACCATTAAGTTTGCTTTTAACTAAATTAAGATGAAGCCCCGTCATAACACTAAAAATCATCAACACTCGTCTAACATTTTTAATTTGAGTGATGGAGGCTCGGCAAAAGATAATTAAGTCATCAGCAAACTGGAGGTGAGTCAAATTGAAACTGTTTTGAATCTTTCCAAAAGAAAACCCTTGAAATAAGCCTAAATCCACAGCTTTAGTTAACATCATATGAAGAAGTTCACCAACCACATTAAACAAAAGAGGAGAAAGACTGCATCCTTGTCGCAAACCTTTCGCAATATGAAACTCTTTTGTAGGAGACCCATTCAGTAAAACAGATATTGATGCTGTGGAAATACACTGCTCAATCCAAGAACACCACCTTTCTCCGAAGCCCATCTCCTTCATAAGCCTTAACAAAATCTGCCAATCCACAGTGTCATATGCTTTGCTAAAATCCACTTTAAAAACAACCCCCTGCAGCCTTTATGCCTTTTTTATGTTCCTCCTGCATAGTTTCAGGTCATCAGAGCTGTATATGACATCAAATTCACCACATTGTTCTTCATTGTCTATTTCTTCACAAAATAGTAGTCCATGGAAGACAACAAGAAAGTTGGTGACCTATTTTGACCTATTTTATCTTACTGTTTCCAATTACTGTCTCATAATCCTGTTTTTAACTCCTATCAAAAAAAATAATCCTGTTTTTAACCATTTTCACACCATTCATGAGAAGTAAATAGTTCTATTTGGAAGCTGTGGTAGTTTAAACTTTAAATAATGTTCCTCTTTAAATGAGTTATGGTTAGTTCATCGTGCCTTTATCTGTTATTTCCAGGTTAACAAAGCCAGGGTTATTCACAACGTCATTGAAGAGTGCTTCAGTGCATATTTCCTCGCAAGATAAAGGCCAATGGAGAATAAAAAAGAAGTTAGTATAATTATTTTTTGTCATTTTATGATTGTATGTTTCTAGCTTCTAATTTACTTCCTATACCTGCCAAGTTTTGACTTTTGAGACACGAGGACCAGTTTTCAATGAAACCTCTTCTAAGTGTCTTTGGTTTTTTCTTCATAATTCCCTTTTTGTCCTTTTATTGGAATTTCTCAGGCCAGTGAAACCAGTTTTGGTGTCAAAAACTTTAAAACACTCTTCACCACCAATGCACTCACCCAATGAAAGTCAATGGAAGATGACAACGAAGTCGGTATCTTTTTAATATGATTTTCTGGACTAAGCTCTGCATTTTCTTTTTCTGATGTCAACCCATTCTCATGGATTTTCCCCCTTAGGGATCAGCGATTACATAAGTTGGTATTTGAGGAAGATGGACTGCCTGATGGAACAGAAGTTGCATACTATGCCCGTGGACAGGTAATTGAGATAAAAGTAATTCATTTTATGCCTTTCTATCTCAACGGTGTTTTAATTGTCATTAGTTTTAATGGACAGAGATTGCTTGAGGGTTACAAAAAGGGCTTTGGGATAATTTGTCGTTGTTGCAATTGTGAGGTATTGTTCTTTTATTTCTTGAGCTTCTGAATTTTGCAATTGTATTGTGCGTCTGTTTATGCTATTTCCTTTTTATTGTGCAGGTTAGCCCATCACAGTTTGAAGCTCATGCTGGTTGGGCTTCTCGTCGAAAACCGTATGTTTTTATATCAGATGCTATACAGCTTTCTTCCTAAGTTACTTCATATTTCCAAGTATATCTTGATTATATTTGTGTTTTTGACAGCTATGCACACATTTACACTTCTAATGGGGTGTCTCTACATGAACTGGCAATATCTCTCTCAGAAGGTCGTCGTTATTCTTCCAAGTATAACGACAACGCATGTATCATTTGTGCAGATGGTGGAGATCTTTTGTTTTGTGATGGATGCCTAAGGGCCTTCCATAAAGGTTCGATCATAAGAATCAAGAATTTCTGATAATTTTAATTAGGAAATCAATGGGTAGATGGTTTGCTCTTGTTTACTTTGCTTCATAGCTTTACTTTGTTTCATAGCTTTACTTTGTGGTATTATTGCACATATAAGGCTTCATTTATATGTCTTTGGGGTTTTAGGATTGATCTTAGCAGTTCCACTATTTTGTTTTATTAAGAATGATAATTGGGCAACCACAGCCTAAGTTCTCTAATACCTATGTTATGTGTCTCTAAGTATGCATGAGATTTATAATATAACTACACTTTTGCCATCAACATTGTTGCTGATAAAAAAATTATATATTTTAAAGAGAAGATGATGAGAAAGGGGGGGATCAGTTTTGTAATGTGCAATAGGAACATTGAATGTGGTATTCTATTCAAAAAATGTACGGTCAGAGGAAATCTATAGTAGCTAGAGTTGGAATTACATATTAAAATGGATGTATTCTCTCTGTTGCATGTTATCAGATGTTTTTGTTGGCATTTTGCGTAACACATTTACTATTAACTAGACCATTTACTTTGCTTCATAGCTTTACTCGTTTCTTATCTTGAAAATTCGTTGCACGTGGAATTATTGTTTTGTTTTCTGATTTAGTTTTCTGTCACCTGTTAAAGATTATATTAGTTGCCTCAGAAGATTATGTACAACTCTGATTTCCTTGATTGATACTTATTAGCCAACTTTATTGATCTATGCAGAATGTGCATCGCTACCCACAATTCCTCATGGTCGTTGGTACTGCAAACATTGCCAGAACATGTTTATGAGAGAAAAGTTTGTGGAGCATAATGTTAATGCTCTTGCCGCTGGAAGGATTTTAGGAGTTGATGCTATAGAACAGATAACCAGCAGATGCATTCGAATTGTGAAAAACTTCGAGGCAGAACTTAGTGGCTGTGCATTATGCAGGTGATGTGTATACACTAAGATGAATCTGATTGAAGCTTATAGTTCCTGAAGACTATTATATAGTTTGCATGGTGATATTTCTTCAAATTTCATATCCTGTTTTAAACACGCTTTAATTTGGCTTGGAATTTGATAAGAGCAGCAAACATCATGGGTTCATATCAGAATTGTTGTTCATTTGAATTTATTTTATATAGGGCATGTGATTTTAGCAAATCAGGATTTGGTCCTCGGACAATTATACTTTGTGATCAGGTATAATGTTAATTTTCATTTTATCCTTTTCCTGTCTTGGCCTTCAGGTCTGCTAAACATGTTTTCTTATAATTGTATTTCCACTGATATCTGTGTTTAATCATTTTGGACCAGTGCGAGAAAGAATATCATATTGGCTGTTTGAGGACTAATAAAATGGCTGATCTAAGGGTATGTATTAGTCTTATTATTTTTGTTATTCTGTTGATTATTTGATATGAAACTCTGGTTCCTGTTTATTGGAATTGCTTTGTTGTTAGTGGATGAGATAACTGAGTCCTGTTGTACAACAGGAAATACCGAAAGGGAAGTGGTTTTGCTGCTCAGACTGCAGTAGGATCCATTCTATGCTACAGAGATTGCTTACTTGTGGAGCTGAAAAGCTTCCAGACTCACTTCTGAATGTTATAAGGAAGAAGTATGTGGAAAAGGGTTTAGATGCTGATATTAATATTGATGTGAGATGGAGGCTTCTTAGCGGCAGATTTACTTCTGAAACTAGATTGTTACTTTCTCAAGCTGTCGGTATCTTCCATGTAAGTCTCTTTCGTGTTTTATTTAGATGTTTCTTTTAGAACCGATTGCTGTTTCCTGTGTTGACAAACAGTGGAAATTCGATTTCTCTGTAATTATTGCAATTGTTATATGTTTATTTTCTACTATTTTATTTGGAAATATGCTTCTTGGGTTGAATGTAGAAACATCAGTAGCACCGTAAATTTTATGCTATTTATTCTCATTCTTTCCTCCTTTTCTTTATCTTTTAGTTTTCTTTTCTCCCTTCTGCTACAGGGGTTGGGGAAAGGCTAAATTGTATTTGTCAAACATAAAAGAAGTATAGAGTGGAGCCATGGCTTACCTTATTTCCCCGAAATTTTACTGATTCTTTTTTCCATTTATTTCAAGGAATGTTTTGATCCTATAGTTGATGTAACAACTGGGCGAGACCTTATCCCATGCATGGTTTACGGGTAAGCATGAGACCTTTTATAGTGCTTGATTACCTTGTTGCGTGATAACGTAAGTGCTATCCGATTTTTTTTTCTTTGACAAACTTGCCTCTCTCACAGGAGGAATTTGAAGGGCCAAGAGTATGGGGGAATGTACTGTGCAGTTTTGACAATCAAGTAAGACATATTTGTATAATATTTAAAGCTCTACAATGTTTTATAGAACGTTAACAGTATTATCTTTTTCTGATGCTGCAGTTCATTCGTTGTGTCAGCTGGAATAATTCGAATTTTCGGGCAACAAATTGCAGAACTCCCTTTAGTTGCTACCAGCATCGCTAACCATGGGAAGGTGAGGCCAATGGTCCGAAGTTTTGCCTTTATGACATTCGCCTAGAATCCCCACCTTGTTTTGTAGCTCTAATCGACTGGATTTCCAGTAGTCTGCAAATTTATGGCTTTGGAATTTTCATGTCCAAACTGGAAATTTATCTAGTTTGGAACCAGACCAACCCATCAAATGATTTGAAGAATATCCTTCATGCTGGCCCCCTTGGAATCGCCTTTCCTATACTCTTTTAGTTCTTTGTGATCTTACCAAATTATTAGTTTAACAGTTGCTGTATCCTACAGGGTTACTTCCAGTTGTTGTTCTCTTCCATTGAGAAGTTGCTGGGACTCTTGAATGTCAAAACCATTGTGCTTCCAGCGGCTGAAGAAGCAGAATCGATCTGGACAGACAAATTTGGCTTCAGGAAGTTGACACCAAACCAGGTTAGTCACTGCTCCATAATTTGTTTTTCTTCCGTTACCCTAACATGACCGCCATGTTACTCAAACTTCCATCTTCCATGTGCTCCAGCTTAGCGAATACCGAAAATCCTGCAACCAGATGGTGATTTTCAAAGGAACTACGATGCTACAGAAAGAAGTTCCTCCATGTCAAGTTGTTAATAGTACAGAGCGTACGGAGTTGCATAATGGAATGGACTAAAGGAAAGGAAACGTTTTGTGTATTTCTTTTTCTTTTTCTATTTATTGGACGTCTATATATATATAAGTGAAGCTCAATTTGTGAAGAGGAGTGAGCTCAGATGTTAAAATTTTCTGATACGGGCACGGGACTTGAATTTAGAGGAATAGTGAGTAGGGTCTATATTTTATTAAACTTTTGGTTTATGGCAAGTGGATATTTTAATCCTTCCCCTAATTTTCTGATACGGGCACGGGACTTGAAGTTAGACATTATGATTAAATATGTGTCGTAACCGTCTTTCGGGTGGGTTCGGAATCGGGCTTCGACTTAAATAAAACATGTTTGAGTCACCACTGATCGTTTATTTTTTTTTTTTAAATTTGGGTTGACCAGACACCATAGTTTATTATCTTACCTAATCTGCGTTTTACCATAAATGTGTTGAATTTAGGAGTCAATTACAGTCAAGAAATGATTAGCACTCTTGTACTGCCCTTTCAGTACCAATTTAATTTTTCGGTGTCTTAATTGCGAAAAATAAAAGTTAAATTGAAATTTAAAGATTTGATCCGAATTACTTACCCTTGATCGATTGAAATTGACCTAAAAAATATAAAACAGATTAGTGTCAAATATTAAAGTAAAACGAAATTAAATAATAGTGATATAAAAACATAATTTAAAATTAAAAGGATTTAATTGCAAAAATTTCAAAATTAGAGGTCAAATTGACATTATTCAAAAGCTGCAAGAAAGAATGAAAGTTAGGAGGGGTCAATTTGTAAAATATAAGAAATTTAAACAGGGATTAAATTGAACAAATTCGAAATTCGAAGGTAAATTTGTAATAGGTGACCAAAATGAATTACATCAAAAATCTAGGGACTGCGGAAATAATTTAAAATTTTTATTATTACAACCTAGTCCCCTACAAATACCCTAAAATCACAAAAATATCATTCAATCTCATTTCTAAAAAAAAACAATCTCTCTCCCAATTTCCTCTCAACCTTCCCCCGACCGGTATAGGCTGGCTACACTCCGACGAAACCCCCACCGTCCTGGCCACCATCGACCACCGCTCCAACCACCACCGTCGGTGGTTGAAAAAAGCAAACTCACCCAAAACGTTCCTCTCGTCTCCTTAGGTTTAAAACCGATGCCTAAATCCCCTAAAAATACCCCCACTGGCATAGATCTAAACGCAAAGATCGAGGCTTTACCTTTTCCGACAATGTTTCTTCGTTTCCTCGGTAATTCCTCTTCTCTCGAGTCAAAACCGACACAAGCACTGATGATTTTTTTTATTTTCTTTGATGTTTTCGAATGTTGCTCTTGGTTGATTCTCCTTTTTTCTTTACTGTATAGTATGGGTTTTTTCGTGTCTTGCTTGTTCGACTTACAGGGGCTTATATAGTCGTTCGCCAGTGGTTATTTGACCGAGAAATATGGGGTTGTTCCCCTCATTTTATGTTTACTAGGATTTTTGGGGATAGATTTCCCTCTTCGTCGAGGGTCGTGGAAACGTGGTTCTTGTTTGCTTCGATTCTGCTGTGATTTGAGATACTGGGAATCTCGACCGATAGATCACCGGAAACTGGTCCAGGTGTCTCGATCAAATAACCACCGGCAAACGACTATATAAGAGAGATTTGAGTTAAAATTGACTAAAATAAGTTAGAAATTCAAAGTTAACATGTCAAAATTAATAATCAACGTGTCAATAGGTTGATTAAACGAATCATATCAATGGATAAATGAGTCAGTCAAACATGGTAGGATAACAGGTAAACAAGTCGGTCAAATGGGTCGGGTTAATAGGTAAATGAATCGATTAAACGAGTCTGCCAAATGGGTTAGATCAATAGATAAACGACTCGATCAAATGAGTAAGACAAGTTGGAGCAAACGGGTCATCTAGTATGGGCTGATGAGATATGGGTAAGGTTTAGTAGGCCATGTAATCTGGGTCATATTAGATTAGGTCTGACTAGGTCAAAGGTCCGTTTAGGTTAAGGGTTTTGAGCTAGCTTGTTGGGTTACTCTTATTCATGCTCATATGGACTAAGTTGGGCTTATCGACGTATCAATGACTTGTAGATGAAAATCTATTTGGATATGGTTTCAATTGATGAGACCAACTAGATTGCAGGTTGTTAGGCCTTGGTTGACCCACATATTGAGTTGGGCCTTAAATATTTGGGCTAAAGCACAAAATAAGGTTTTACTAAAGGTTAGGGCAGACTTAGAGTTCGGTTAGGGGAAACGATAATATGAGCCTTACCTTAAATAAGATGTAGGAGACCAAAATGTTTAAAAAAATAGGGGTCAAAATAACTATTTAGTCAAACGTTAGGAGTCTTTTTGTCTTAAAATTAAATGTTGGGGTCCAAAATGCTCCAAAATAAGAATAAGCCAAAATGACTATTTAATCAAATGTTAAGGTATTTTTTGACATTATGCCTAAACTAAAATGTATAATTGGACTTTTGATTTCCAAAGCATGTTCAAATGTTGATTTGATATTTTGAAGCATGTTTCCGGTGAGTTTTGACATGTTTAAGATGATTCAAGTATGGTCATGTTTAGGATCAATTAGGTGTCTGATTGGTAACCCGAAACGACATGTTCAAGTTGAATTTTTTTAAAAGGATCGATTCCTTGTGCCTTGTTGCCTAAGTAAAATTTTGGGAACTTATTCGAATAAAAATAATTGATTCCTTTTCGAGTAAAAAATTGATCCAATCCAATCCAACCCAACTCATCACCATTCCTATTATTAGCATTAAAAAGAATTGTTGGGTTCTTATATGGTTGCCCTTTTTGAGTAAAGTGCGATTGTTGAGATTGTGGTGCAACTTGGCACTCGTAATTTGCCCATTAGAGGAGACTTGGACTGCATAATTTGAATCAATTATTGCCAAGTGTTTTGAAGGTTTAAGGTGGGTGATTCTTCGGCCTGTAATGCCCACTACCTGATGTCTGGCTTGGTTCCTTGGGTATGACCAAATAGCATCTTGGGGTCGAAAGACTCGTTGGTCTTAAATAGAGCCACCATGGACAGCGGTTTGCTCAGTGATGGGCCATTCTCCCGCGACACTTGAGTTGCATCTGCCAACTGCCATGTCAGGACATCATTAAGTGGATTCATCTTGGACGGCTAGCCATCTTTATTCTGACCACACCAGAACCAAACTATCAGTAGTGATTCATTTTCTATGATTTGGATTCTGCCGTTGATTGCCAGACGAGATCTTAAGCGCTTCTTGAAGTTTATAATTCTTGATATAAAATACAACGTTTATCCCTTGTCGGAAGTCTTGATAATCGGATCCAGACAGTGATTGGATTGAGGTATAGATGTCGAGTGTTGTCGGAGACCATGGTTCTACGGTTAGGTACTGACCAAATAGGGGTCAAGGACCGTCAATGAGAACCCTGACATTGTCTTTTTCGAGAAGTATTTGACTGAAAAAATAGTAGACTTCGATGTCCATAAGGTGCATTAGTTGAGAGGACTTCCGAGGGTTATAAATGGGGGTTTAGAGCGTGTTATAGTCATTTTTCTGTCGTAATTTCATAATAACAATGTTGATTAACAGTAACCATATGATCTTAAGGGTTAAAAATTAATCCCTAATGTTTGTATAAATTATCATTGTGTTCTTTATTTTTTAAAAGATATTTTAGTTCTAAAATTTTTAATTTTATATCAAAATAATCTATGTTTGATGAAAACCGTTAATTGACTAACAATTTTCATCAATGTGAGTTATTTTAACAAAAAATTAAAATATTAAAAACTAAAATACTCCAAGAAAAAAAGTAATCATTTACAAAGTTGGGATTAATTTTATCATTATATCATCCTTATTTCCAATTATCACTATTATTCTTCACAATCCATTCTCATACCAAAACAGTCATGGTCTATACCACCTTCTTCCGACGGTTCTTCTTTACGATGACGGCTTTTCTGAGCGGTACATTTAACAGTGGAAGAAAAGAAAGACATTCGATTAGGATCAAATATGAAAAAGAGATATTTTTTCCTTTATTTTTTAATTTAATTAACTTTTTTTTTGAATAATTTTTACTTAGAGGCCGGGGAAGAAGAATTTTGTTCCTAATTGATATTGAACGGATTCTAAAATTTAGTGTAAATGAAATATGTCAACTGAAAATTTTTAACTATCTACTTTAGAAATATTATCGACAAATTTATTAACCTTTTAATAAAGATGTTATTTGTGTAGTTTGAATGTAATACTTTTTAAATGCAAATTTTTTCAATGAATACTAAAAAAATTTAAATTTCAGTTAAGCTTTATAAAATCTGGTGTACAACAGAGATTGTGATATTATAAATAGGTTTAAATGCACCATTGCTCCCTAACGTGTGTCATTTATACCAAGTTGCCTCCTAAAATATTTTTCGGGATGTTTAGCCCCTTGAACTTTATATCGTTATCTCATTTTTCTCGAACCATTAACTCCATTAAAAACGGCAAGGGTAAATTACATATTTAGTCACTCATCTATTCTTGTGGTTCCATTTTGGTCACCAAACTATTTTTTTCTCAAAATCATCACTAAACTTAAGTTTTTATTTCTTCGTCACCCAAATCAATTCGATTTATTTTTAAAATTTGTAATAAATAATAATTCATTTATATCATATATTTTTGTAAGGGGGTGTTTGGTTCAGGTAATCTGAGATTATCGAGGGAATGGAATCTCATTCCCCAGTTTGGTTGGCCAATATTCCAGCCTCCGGTAATCTTTTATTACCAACAGTGGATTTTTTTAGGTATATTACCGGGAATGTCATTACCTCCATTCCCTTATGTATTGTTGGATTACCGGTGTTTTGGACTAAAGTGCAATTAATTTTTTTTTAAAAAATATTATTCTTCTGTCGTTGAATAATAAAAATTCTACGAATGTTTAATTACAAATTTATCCTTAAACTATTTTAGATTTACAAAAAAAGTCTATAATTAGAATTTTATATGAAGTTCAGGGGTTAAAATAAAATTTTACCCTTTCATTAAACCTATTTATCTTTTTAATTTTGTAAAAAAAATTATATAAATTTTATGAATTTAAAATTTTTAAAGAAAATATATAAATTAATTATAGTAATATTATAGTAGAATTCAACTTGTTAAAAAATATATATATATAATAAAGATAATTTAGTAATATATATATTACAATAATCTTTTATTCTTTTAACCAAACACGGTAATCTTACATTCATTCTAAACTAACCAAACACAAAATACAACATTCCAGTAATCCTATTCCCTGATAATCTTTTATTTCTATTTGTAATCTTGCATTCCGTGAACCAAACGCACCCTAAGTGTAAAAATAAAATAAACCAACTATACACAATGACTAATAACACTATGCCAAATACGTGCATAATCAAGCTATTAAAATCAAGGCAAAACATGCCTAGAAATAACACATCCATCACCCATATATACACTCATCACAATCACTTATATATATATATATATATACTTTATTTGTCCTGGATTTATGTAAAGATGATATCAATCTTAAATGCGTTTGTTATTTTTGTTTTAACCAACAAGTTTCAGGTCTGGTGAGAGCTTGGGTACTAATAAAATCGAACCTTATGCATCAAACTGTAAGCTAATCGGTTTATGGAACTGTATATTCTAATAGTATCTCCACCAGCCAACTAATCAGATTATGGAATCGAACCTTAGGGATCAAAATGTAAGCTAATTAGATTATGGAACCTTAGACATCATATTAAAGTTAATATGTTGTTTATTATTTACGTTATAATATTATTTAGTACTTTAAATTAAATTTATGTGTCGAGTAAAAAAACATATGATATAAATGAATTCTTATTTATTATAAATTTTAAAAAAAATCGAATCGATTTTAGTGACCAAAACAAAACAAAAACTTAAGTTTAGTGATTATTTTGAGAAAAAAAATAGTTTGGTGGCCAAAACGAAACTGTGAAAAACCTTTGCTGATTTTAACAAAGTTAACTGTTGGGGGCAAACAAAGTAACAATTTAAACTTCAAGGGGCAAAATGTTCTGAAAATACTTCCGGGAACAACTCGGTACAAATAACATACTTTAAGGATAATGGTTCATTTAAGTCTTATAAATATACAAATGGTGCCTAACTTATGCCTGTTTTTCTAATTTAGTGTCTAACGTTTTTTTCGTTCCATTTTGGTGCCTAAAGTTTCATTATGTTACTCAAAATGGGTCAAGACGTGACATGCCATTAATTTTCTCTATTAAGTGGCACGTGTCACAATGATAATTTTAAAAATTTTAAAATTATATATATTTAAAAAAGCAAATAAATTTCAAAATAACCTGAAAACTTTAAAAACCTTCATTTCAACCCCTAAACCCACGCCGACCGCCGCCCTTTGTTGTCGACGAAGTTCCACCCGACCTCACATCCCTCGGTGACCAAAATCCCTATGAAATCGTGATTGGTCAACGGCCGATTGATGGCAAATCGACGTTTTAAACCCCACGAACCCTAGGATAAAAATCACAATCCCAAGCGATTTCGATGGCCAATCGACGACAACTATGACAACTTATAACTAGGATGATGACAAGGACTATGTCGACGGAAGTGGTCGTGGTCGGAAAGGGTGTCGACGGTGGTTTAGTATTAGGATTTGGAGATTTTGAGGATTTTTTGTAATTTAAAAGAAATAAGGTTTTTTTTATAAAATTAATAATGTTTTTAATATTTTAAAAAATAAAATTTAAAATTACGATATTGTGACACGTGTCACTTAATGGAGAAAACTAACTGTCCGTCACGACTTGACCTATTTTTAGTAACGAAATGAAATGTTATGCACCAAACTGGAATAAAATAAATGTTTGGTACTAAACTGAAAAAGCCGACATAGATTAGACACCTTTTGTACATTTAAGTCAATTTTTTAACAGTTATCAGAATTTTTATATTTTATTTATCAGTTGCAAGTTATGCTTGAAGAAGTTGCGTGGGTAAAACGTGTTTCATGGAGGGTTACGTTGAAATTTCCAATTTTAAAAGTTCTTACCTAACATTCAATTAGGACCTGGTCCTAAACTTGCTGTGGTACTGGCACATGCATGGATGAACCGAAAGGTCGGTGGAGATAATCGTTTACATAAAATATTTAAATCAATATATATTTTAATTTTTTTATATTTTTAATTAATAATATATTTTTGTCATTTAAAATTTTAGAAATTTGTGCCGGAACTAAACGACATAGGCTACCGAGGCATGTACATGTACATGTACATGTCATTTGCCTTTTTTAAGATTAATTAAATTGATATTGTGTTGTCTAATCTCACAATGTAATTTGTCAATGAAGACTTTGGCATTATAATATATTTCTTAATTAACAAGTCTATTGTTGGTGTTTAAATTAATATAAATATATGATGAATATTGGATGCTTATGCAATGAAGATACTATTTTATTTTCTCACAATAGTTTAAAATAATTACAAATTAATATTTATTTATAGAAATAAGAATCAAAATTCCAACTCGGAAGGGGTAAGTATAATTTTTTTAAAAGTGACGGGTACAGTTTGTAATCATCCCATTTGAATTATATATATAATTTTTTTATAGAATGGAGGACAATTAATATACATCTTGCAGTTGCAATTGTTCGAACCGAGTTCGCTTAACAAAATTAATATTCTTTTTACTATTGAGACCACTCATTAAATTTTAGTTTACATAAACTTCAAACATAACATATAAGAGTTACCTATTAATATATAATATAAGATTTGAAGATTACTTGAACCATACTCGAGATATTATAATAGAATTTCATTAGAGGCTACACAATAATACATTCAAAATGCCTTGCGAGAAAAGAAAAGAGAAAATCCAACTTTTTTTAATCAATTTACGAACTGTTAATTAAACCTGCAGATTTGGGTGTTACTGAGTCCGAGTAATTTGCTCCAAAATGTCTTGCACTAAGAGTGAAATGTTGAAATCCGACGATCCTCCGTCTTCCACAGACATTCTTGCCATTTCCGCGAGTTCTCGAGCTCGAACTCGTCTCTTTTCGCCATCTTTACCTCCATTCATCAACATATCTATGGCATTCTCAACTTCTTGTTTCTTGACCAGCACTCCAAGTTTCTCTTCTTCACCCCATCTAACAGGGACCTCGACCCCGACCCGAACTCCGATCTTTAGGATCTCGACGATCAGTTTTTCGTTGAAGAATTGTTCGGAGAATTGGGGCCATGTTATCATTGGCACCCCGGAGCATACAGATTCAATGGTTGAATTCCATCCACAGTGTGTTATAAACCCTCTAATAGCAGAGTGTGATAGAATAAGAACTTGTGGCGCCCAACCTTTGATCAATAGTCCCCTCCCTTGTATCCTCTCCTCATATTTATGCTCTAAAAACCACTTTTCTAACTCCTCATTAGCTCTTTCATCGCTTGTTCTGACTACCCAAATGAATGGATGTCGTGATGCTTCGAGGCCTAACCCGAGTTCGATCAATTGTGCCGGAACTAAACGACATAGGCTACCGAGGCAAGCGTAGATAACTGACCTTGGTTTCTTCGAATCGAGCCAGTTGATGCATTTTTGTTCATTGATTGATGCTTTGTTTCCTCTTTCAAATTTGTCCAAGTTTATTCTGTTGCATAGGGAAACCGGTCCAATGGTCCAAACCTTTTTACTTATAGCCTTTTGGTACATCTCCACACATCCTTGCTCTAGTTCATTGAAGCTGTTTATGACAACACCGAAGGCACTCATTTCAGCCTCTTGCATCTTGTTGCGAACATCGTCGAGGTCCGGTAAACTAACGAATGCTCCCGGAAGTTGAGCTCTCGTTATCTCCACCGGTTGCGGCAATCCCGGCACGAAAACGGTTCCAAATCCGAAGCGACCGAAAGGTGGGGCTTATGCACCTTCACATTGTGAGAGCTCAGCAATGAAAAACATCCCATCCCATGAAAAACAATCCTAGGAACATTGAACCTTTGTGCAGTTTTTGAGGTCCAAGAAAGGCACTTGTCCGATATTATGCAACTCGGGAGAGGCTTTTGTTGTTCGAGAAATCGCTCCAATGGTTCCTGCAACATGCCTAGTGCATTGTAGAAGTTCTTCAATAGGTCCCTGGAAGACAAAGTGTCGAGGTTCTCGCATCCGGTCGGGAGTCCGACTTCCCGGCACGGAAATGGGATTTTCACTAGCTGAATCTTGTGTCCAGATTCCGTCACTCGTTCGATCACCTTGTCGAACCTTGACGCGTTGTGGGGCGTGGTGATTAAGCTTACCATCACCCCTCGTTCTGCAAGGAGCTTGGCCAAGTCAACCATCGGAATCATGTGGCCTTGCGCCATGAGCGGGATCAACACGAAGTGTGGTTGTTGCTTGGTCGTTGAATCCATAAGCTCTTAGAAATGGAACCCCAAACGAGCAATTTACGACGATGCTCGATCGACTTGGTCACCTAAAGTTGTTTTGACATCAACCTTATTCGTTTTCTGGGGGAGTTTCTCACCAACAGCAGGTCTTATACGGTGAGCTTGACTTTGAATAATTCCAAAAATATGAGTTTTAAACAAAGGTTAATTATGGTTTTGGTATTTCAGTTAAGCTGAAATTAAAGATTTAGCTCCCATACTTTTAATCGTACATAATTTGATCATTCTACTTTTATAATATCATTAGCTAGTACAAATAGTTTTTATATATCTTTGTTTAAGGGTCACTGTTTCCGTGTAGTAAACTTAATTTATCAATTATGTCCTTATTTTTTTTTGCATCAATTTAGTCATCGAAGTTGTTTAGGGTATTCATCTTAGCTCTTGAAGTCTATTGACCGTTTTGAATAATAGAATTGTGAGGTTTCTGTGTTTGTGGATTAAGTGATTTGTTTAAAATATTTTATTAAATACAATTTTGAGAACAAATTTCAAAAAATTTATTATTTATTTTAGTAAAATTAAGAGATTAGGTCAAAATTTTAATAATTTTTCTAACTGTTGTGTTTAGTAAATATTTTATTAATCAAAACAAACTTCAAAGGTAACGTCCTAAATAATTTTTAAGGATTAAATTAATGTAAAAATCAATGAAAATGAAATTGATAAATTAAATTTATTATATGAGGGTCGCCAAAAGTATATAATGGAGTTGACTTTGACTTATTTTGATTTGAATAAGTCGTTCCGTAACGCATGTTTGGTGTTGAATTAACCATCTTGTCACCACAACATGGCTATACCCCGGCAACCACGTTAACGCATAATCATTGATTGATTGAGTCGGTCTTTAAATCAATTTTGACGTTGATATGATTCTTTCAAGAAGCTTTCATGATATTTCCATATTTCCTTCTTTCTAGATATTTCTCTACTTTGATCCAAAAATAATATTATAAATTATTCCATCCGTCGTATAACTTGTGTGTTATATTAATTATGTAAGTAGTTTGGAAAATATATTTAATTAAAAATATAAAATTATTTTTAAAAAATGATTGACTATTTGATAGAGGTAAAAACATAAAATATACAAGAGTAAAAGAGGAAATATAAATGTTGTTGTTTGTTGATTTTTCTAATATGATATTTTGAATCAAATAATTTTAAAAACCAAAATAGATATATTTAGTGGGACGAAATGAGTAGTTTATTTTTATTTTTGAAGTATTTTGACCTAATATTTTATTTTGAGGGTAAAAATATCTTTTTGTATATGGATATTATTAGTTAACAAACGATCAATCATTCAAAATAAGGGCTTTTAACTTAAAATGAAACGTTTTGTGGACATAATGCTCTAAAAGAAAAAAATAGGAGTCAAATTAACTATTTAATCAAACGGTTGAGGCCGAAATACCCTAAAATAAAACATTAGAGCAAAATGCTATAAAAAATAATAAGAGTCAAAATGACCATTTTGAAACAATAATAAGATAAGATCAATATGAAATTTGTTCCTAATCGATCATTATTACGGAAACAATAATAAGATAAGATTAGTATAAAAATTGTCAAATATTAATGAGATAAATATGTGAATAAGATTCAAATCAAATTCATATGTATTTATTGAGAATAAATATTAGATCAAATCGTTTTGAGAATAATACATGGAATAAAATTATATATTAATCTTCAACCAGCGGCATATGTATGTATTGTTCAAGGTGAGTACGTGTCCATCCTAAAATATAAATTTCTTTATATTATTTGTAAATTTTACTGAAAGTATCTACCCTAAAATTTTATTTACATTCACCCTATATGAAAATTTTATGTTATTAATATATATATGTTTATTTTGGAAAAATATTTTTGAATCTACCATTATCTTCAACAATTATATCATTAAATTCTTAGACTTGAAATTATTATAATTCTCAATATGATAATTATTTTGTTTTGACATATTTAAACGTCATCTTTAATGGGACGATTATAAGATCCAAATCTAATGTCCTTGCACTTGATTGCATCCATTGCTAACTCGACCAGCCAATAACTTGGGTGTCAAATTTCTTTTCCCCTTTTTGTTTCTGTTTCTTACATTATCAGGACATAGACGTGATATATGGTTCAAAGACTTGCAACCCAAGTGCTATAGTATGAAGTACTCGATTTGAATCTTCCAGGACTTGGTCTCCAAATAATAATTAACTATTTTATGGCCGTATAAGGTTGATCTATTGATGTCCTTAAGAGCACCACCTTATCTGTTCCACAAGCAACACATTTTTGCCATCCTGCTGCTTACAATTCACTTTCACAACTTCCTGTCATGGCTCAATGCCACTTTGTGTTGTTCCCTTTCATGGCTTAAGGCCACTTGATCCCCATGGTAGACATCGGTCGACTGTTAGCACAGCGCGGAGTGATTGTCACTGTCGTCACGACGCCACTCAATGCAGGCAGAGTCGAGAAATCAATCTCCCCATCCAACTAATCAGGGCACCCTATCCGTATATTGCAACTCCGTTTCCTGGCAAAGAAGTAGAATTATCAGACGGGGTTGAGAACATAGACATGCTGCATTCGATGGATGACATGTTCAACTTCTACGCTGCAGTAGACAAGATGGAAGATGCAGCACAGAGATTATTCGAGAAGTTAACACCACGCCCCACTTGTATCATTTCAGACATGAACCTGTATCATATCCTCAAAATTGCAACAAGTTTCGAGTTCCGAGGATTTCGTTATGGATTTTGTTTCTTCGCTCTTCTTCGTGTGCACAATGTGAACTCCTCCAAGATACTCTAGGAGGTAAAATCTGATTACGAATACTTCACAGTGCCAGCCTTGCCTCACAAGGTCGAATTAACTGCACAGATTCCCCTTAACCCCGTTGGTCCCTGGGAGGAAATCTTCGGACCAATATTGGAAGCTGACCAAGCACATCATATGGGACTATCATAAATACCTTCGAGGAGCTCAAATCGGCTTATGTCGACGAGTATCGGAAGGTTGCGAAAGCTTGGTGTATCGGTCCGGTTTCTCTTAGCCACAAAGACGAGTCGGATAAGGATGAAAGAGGTGACAAAGGTTCAATCAATGAGGAACAATGTCTGCAGTGGCTTGATTTACAAGAACCAAACTCTGTCATCTATGCATGCTGTAGACACTAGTTTTTTGCCCATTTTTTATTTATTATTATTTTTATTATTATTATATTATTATTATTAATAATAAATAATTTTATTACAAATCAGGCCCAAATACAATAAACCAAAGCCCATTTACAAATCAATCCCGGAGCCCGATAACCCGAAGGCCCAGATCCAGGAAGACCCGATCAGACCCAATCTGGGAAGACCCAGCCCACTAAACCCAGATGTAGCTAGGGTTTCTAACCCTATCTCCAACCACCGCCTCTGCTGCCAAGTGCTCCAACCAGTCACTGCCGACGTCCAGCCGCTTCCACGCCACCTCACCGAAGCCTCCAGAAGGCTAGATGGTCGCCCACGTCGCTGCCCTATAGTGAGTCACCACAATAGTTTGGTGACTCACCGAAAAATCCCTCCTCTACATGGTCTAAGAGAGGCACCGTGGTGGCTATAAAAGCACCGAACATGCGAGGAAGAAAATACCAACATCAACGACGAACGACAACAACATTGAATGGAAAAATAGCAAACAACAACAACCATTTTCGAACCAAAAAGAAACCAAAATAGGAAGCAAGCAACCAAAAGCAGCAGAAAACAACCAAAAGAAAAGAAAAGGAGACTTACCATCATCGGAAGCCTTCGAAACGTCGTCGGAGCGTTAAATATTTCGGAGGTAAAACTCTAGAGCTAGTTAGATTGGCTAGTTTTTAGGAAAAGGGAAGTTTGGATTTGGGTTTAGAAAAATCAAATCTACATTTTGATGTATTTTTCTGAAACCCCAGGGCGCTGTCGGTGCCGAAACACAGCGGTCGGCAGTGGTCAGTCTTTCCTCTGCCTAGGGAATTGTAGAGAGAAGACAGAGCTTCTCTCTTTGCAGATTAAGGAAAATGAGGGAAAATGGCCCTTTTGGGCCGATTAAAGGGTATTTATACCCTCACCAAATCTACGTCGTTTTGGTAAAGGGTGTCTGTGTAATTTCCCTCATGGGAAAATCACTTGCGCAGTCCTCGTGACTTTGTAAACTTTCCATTTTAGTCACTAAATTAAGTTTTTGAGCATTTTTAATTTTGTTCTCGAATTTTATTTAATTTATATTTTAGTCTTTGCCAGTAATTATATATTTTAGGATAAATATCTTATTTAGTCCCTTAGGTTTTAATAATTATTATTTTAATCCCGAATAATTTATTATGGTTAAATTACATTCTTAATGTCTATATTACATGATATTACAAATTAGTATCTTCAATTTTGATATTTTACATTTTAATACTATAATTTTAATTTTCTTTATTTTAGTCACTATTAATTGCAATTTTATTATTACCTTATATATTTCAATATTTTAAATATGATATTTAATTATTATTTTATTTCATATGAATATATTTAATTAAATAATATTATTTGTTTTTTTAATATAAAGAAAGGGACTGTCTTAAGGTAACTAGATGTCATTTTCTAACATTTTTAAATAAATAAAAATACTATATTTAATATTATTTAAATTATTTTAGGAAAACTTATCATATTATTATTAATATTTATTTATTTTTTAATATTAAAGAAATAGGTTATCTTAAAGTAACTAGATTTCATTTTATAATATTTTTAAATAAATAAATACCCTATTTATAATTTATAAAAATTATTTTAATATATTTTTCTTTAGAATTATCTGATTGAATCTCGAATAAGAAGATCATAAATTAAATTTATATTCAAATTCTTAAATTCTATTATTAGAGATAATTTATAATTAACGGGTACTAATTTTGGGCGTTGTGGGGGTGATAATAATTCCTCAAACGTAACCGACCAGAATCCCTTTCTATTACTAAAAAAATGAATTTCTGGTTATATGTTGACTGGTTTATCTTTTAAATTAA